AGGATTCTTCAAACAAGACTGCCCCAGACTAGACAAGCTGAGCGACATGTCCAAATCTAGACCTCTCATCTCCTCTAGTCTTTTAAAAATCTCTACGTGCCTGCATAGCCAACAAGTCAATCTCTAACCTCCCCACCCTCTCCATCAAGACTGAGAAATCCTCAATTCCAAAGAGAATTAAAGGTTGTCTGATCACATTCTTCAATCCATAAAAAAACAGTTACAGTGTTCTTCAGCATTGGGAATTAACTGAGCTGAATATCGAGATAGCATCTAAAACTCAACCTCACACTGCATAATGTAGTGGTTGCCCTGCACCAGTCTAATAAATTGATCTTGCATTTGCATCTTGGTTGAGAGGACCAATCAATAAAAGTTCTCACAAAATCCTCCTACTGAATTTAGCTGTTGGGTTGTTTTTCAAATTTCTCTTGTAGTTGTCCCTGTCGCAACCTCTCTGCTTCCCTCTCTAAATCAAAATTGGCCAATGTAACCCTTCTATCCTGAGGGCATGATAAACTGTCAAATATTTTCTCAATCCACAACAACCAGTTCTCAACCTCAACTTGTCTCCCTTCCTGTAAAAATAGTGACAGTCTCATGTCCTGAAATAATTTCAGATATTTATCCATCTTCATTATTCCACTAACACTAGCTTGATTCTGAGAAATATGAATCAATTGTGTCAATGAGGCCATCTTCTCTATAAACGCCTCCATAGAAATGCTAACACCACTGGATGGAGGATCAACAAATGTCAGTGGCATCAGAATTTGTTGATGAGCAGCTCTTGCCACTATTATTTCCATAAGTACTCTCCGGATCAATACCAATTGTCTTGAGATACCAAAATTTAACATTATTAACATAAACATTAGAACTACTTTTTAGTTTTCTTAAGGATCATTAAAAATTTTTCTAATGGCTCTTTTATGATTATTTTCTATATTAGCCCTATACTTAATTAGGTCGTTGATGCCACTCTTGACATGACCCGACCCAGAAGCTTGGAATGACCAAGGCAAGAACTGTCAGTCGAACGGAGGAAAACTATCTATCAGTTTTATTTCAAAGTTAAAATGAAATCCAAAATATAAAAGAGTTCTATTTATGAAATTTTAAGTTATAAGTAGTTGGTACATATTTTTAAATTTTACAATTAACAGAAGATGAAAACTAATATATAGTATCTATCAGTCTGCACTTCTAGACGCATGTACATATACCCTCTAGAATCCATCTAGCGTAAAATTGATTTTCCTGTAAATTCATTGGACAAATGTTTCTATATTACAAAAATTCTCATTTCAAAATATTTTGTAAAAGTGCAGTACACAGTGAAGGACTGTGCGCAGTAAAGAAAAAGTAAAGAAAACAGTTTTCTATTTACTTTCATTTATTTTCGTTACATTTCATTATTTAGTGTCGCTGTCTAACCGTATACTTTAAAACATATACGTTTAACATTTAAAAAATTCGGCACATAATAGCCTACAACTTAGCAAGGCACACCTCTTGCTCTTTTGTCATAACAAGGACCATAAATGTAAAAAAACGTGGTGCACTTGGTGCTATCGCACAATGCACAAAACATGTTATTATGTCGCTTTGATTTTTTATTAGCATTTTACTTGGTTTGGTTTACAATGCCTAGTTTAAGGCCTTCATCAAAGTTTATTCAGTTTGCATAGAATAAAATAGAGCTTTAACTTAGAGATATAATCATCTTGACAGCATTAACCAAATTCTTTTGAGTATCATAGATGGTGCTAATAAATAGTTAGCTAAGAAATCAGATGATGAGTCACATGAATGATGAATTAGTATTAGGTGAGCATGCTGAGCTGGAAGATGGAAACGGGTTGACTCAAATAAGATAGAGCATAAGAAAAAATAAGTTAGTGAGAGCATAGGGCGTAGAAACGAACAAAGGTAAAAATAGTAGTGTAGCATATATAAAAACCAGCCAAGCAATTCTTTTTTGTTTATTATGTATTAAAAATGCTAATGCTTGCCATTCCTCTATAACGCCAAACTGACAGCGGTTATGAGAAATGGAGAAATTAGAAAAGGAAGGGAATCGGCCACATCAAATCAGATTATATATATATATATATATATAAAGCCCAAGGGAAATTATATTAAAGAGAAAATGGTACATATAGGTTGTACACCCAACCCACAGCACCCAACCCACACGGTACAACACACACAAAAAGAAAAAAGAAAAATTAAAACCCCTAAAGAAGATGGTATATATAAGATCAATCGATCGACCCAATTTAGTTCTGCCTCTACCTCTAGTTCTTGAAAGGGAACCAACTAACAAATTGGTGAGATGCGTACCATTGTCTGAAGTAACAAAAGTATCATCCATTAGATTCCTTAGCTCAAGTAGATCTCCATTCTTCTTCTAAGTGTAGACCTGTCATTCCTCATCCGAAAATTGTTGCTCGTTCGGATGAGACGGTAGTGCTGCAGTAGAAAGATTGTCAACAGTTGTGCCCACAAGAGGTTCAAATGTATGTGAGGTAAGAGTTGTCACCTTTACCCCTGATACTTCCTGAAGATGGGGAGCTGCAAGGTTCTCCTGATTATCAGTTCGTGTAGGTAGGGGTCCTTCAGTACTGTTTTCAATAGGGTTTGAAAGTGTATGTTGCTCTGCAAGGCCATCCAGCTTCTCATCGATCGCAGAAACAGTATTTTCAAGAAGAGAATCCACAGGGGCAATAGAATCAAACACCAAATCATGTCCTATGGTAGTTTTCTCTCTAAGTGGAACAGATATATCCTTAGATCCATACTTATTCACTTGATCTTTAGATTTCAAATCAGGATGAAACTTATGACATTTATCAACGGTATGCTCAAACATCTTACAATGAGAACAATAAGGAGGTCTATGCTCCATGACGATTTCTTGTCAATATTTATTATGAGTTGTGTCCAACCAGACTTCAATAACATCAAATAAAGTAATATCTCTTTCCATAAGTATTCTTGCCACAGAAGGTCTGTTAAGGTTGAAAGTTGGTAAATCTAGCTTCATAGGGTCCCCAAGTATGGCACCAATAGAGTAAAGAACCTAATAATGAAAAAAGTGAAGCTTGAGACCAGGTAAACTAAATCATATCGGTACAGTATGAGGTTCATGATTGGGATCGAAATTCGGAGATCACTTGAGTATTTTCACTGGTTTACCAGCAATGTTAAGACATTTTTTGGAGAAAATCCGAGTGTAGTCTTCAGGCACAGTTAACTGAATCAATACATGTCTCTCATCCATGAGCCTTACCTCCTACTTTTTTGCTAATTTGAGATCATCAAAATTTTTCCTGATAACTTCCATAGGTGGAACTTCCATAGGAGGTGGGTGTCCCCACTGAAATTTTCTAATAAGAGCAAACTTGAATTTTTTAGTTATGGTTGAAATTTCTAACTCAGAGAAAAAAAATGATGTCTACCCACTTTTACTGTTTGCATTCTTAATAAAGTGTCAGTCACCTCTATCATCACGATACTCCTTATAACATGAGAGGAAGACAACTACTCTCCCCCTGAGGATTACCCACCACATGGGTAAAGGAGCCTTTGTCAGGTTCCACCGAAAAAGAAGGAAGCTCTATCACAACAGCAAGGAGAAGCCCTGCCAAGTCGGGTTGAGGGAAAAAACAACGAGCATAAGAGGTCGGAGCGAAGCTACGCAGAAGACACGAACCAAATGTCGAAACCGCCGTGGCAGTCTCAGCAAACTGCAGCTCAACAAAGCAGAAGATACGAACCACAGAAATGGCACGGAGGAGACGACGAAACCGCAGAAGCTGGAAGACGTTGTGGTTTCGTCGCTGGGCGCGAAGGAGGAAACGACGACAAAAACAAAGCCCTGCGTCGCTCGGCACGAAGGATGAGACAAAGATCGCAGAGGAGATTTACGAGCGCAAAGTCCTTCGTCGTCGAGTACGAGAACTTCGTCTTGTTTAGTTTTTTATATATATATATATATATATATATATGATACAATAATAGCTACTAACTTAGGATTTTAAATTACAATTTGTGAATAAAAATTGGAACTTTTTTACCCCAACTTCTTTAACTTAGGTGTTTATTTTTACTAACTGCAAATCAATTTAAGTTTAACTTGAAGTGATTTGCAGGTATCAAATTCCACTTGCAAACTTTCGTTACAGATAGATTTTCACAACTCTTGAAAATTGTCACCTCTCATTTCACACAAAATCTTCATGTTCTCTTAGTGTGACAAATTTACAGATATGATAGTCATTGAATAGTTTAGAAGCCCAAACACGTCTGCCATGTTTCCTAAAATGAACAACAATTAGACAATATTGATTGAGGAGAAGGCATTTCAAACTAAATTCACATGATATAGTGTTCATTGTTTGTTTTTTCGTTATAATCAATCGAACCACTCATTAGACCCCCTTTTTCTTTGGCAACATTAGTTTCGAATACATTGGCCACTCTGTTTCAAATTTAAGTAACATTTAGGTGGTGTTTATTGTGATCGATGCGGCCTGAATTTGCTTTGCACAACATAGCAACTGATATCCACTGTCCTCATCACATTCAATCAATTTGAATTTGGAGTACAAGTAAAGGTCAATGCCTTTTTTTTAGTTTGGATAGGTGAACTCTAGTTAAGTAAATTTAAAAGAATATTGAAGGAGTTTATGGGTTCCAGTTTGAAATGGTTAAAACTGATTTAAAAAACTATGTAAAAATGGAGCAAACTATGAACTGTATGATCTGTCCCTCACATGCCGTGAACTATAATGCTTTAAGAGGCTTATGAACATCTAATGCATCAAGCATTTATCTGCAAAATAACATGAGAGTTTCTAGCGTATATACATTAGTTAATTAACATAATGTTGTTGGTAAAAGAGAGCTCAGACAAACAACAATATTATCACCCCTTAAGTCTTGATCACAACATCATAAACTCTCCTAAATTGAGATGAAAATTATGTACGTACCAAGGGTGGGGCACATGCAAAGCAAGCTGTTTCACCAGGAATAAGCAGTTGAATATGACCCGAAACAGCATCTTCAGATACGCCTGGCATAAAATTTGTGTGCACAATAAAAAATAATAATTTAAATTAATGGCTTCTCCATGGAGAAAGTAAGCGTTCTATGATCTATTAGGATTAATAGAAGCAACATATTCTGTAAACTTAAGGCTAAGCAAATCAGCAAAGCTTGAGGATTGTATTCCTATTTTCAAACAAAATATTCATTTATTTAAGATTTATAATGCACGCACAAAAGAAACATGTGACAATTCAGTTCACAGAAAAATATCTGGCTTAAATGACTGACAGAACGATCAAATTAAGTAAAGAAAAGTCTTTATGTCTGCTTAAGCAAATAACCATCATTTCTCATAGTATGACACAAATGCATTGCTTTTTTTCATTAAATGGTTCAAGATCTACTGACAAATCAGTTCACAGAAAATATCTGGCTTAAATGACTGACAGCACACGATCATATTAAATAAAGAAAACTTTTTATGTCTGCTTAAGCAAATGACCATCATTTCTCATAGTATGACACAAATGGATTGCTTTTTTTTTCATTTTTTTTTTTCATTTAAATGGTTCAAGATCTAGTACATATATAAGGTGGGAACAAGGCCAATTACAAAGTTTAAATTTATGTCGATCTAAATAAATTTATCATAATTGTGCCCATTGAAGTTGGGCCAGAGAACCCCAAGTTGGAAACAAAAAGAGTGCACTGCTTAAGCCAAGACTCTTGATACAAATGATAGTATTATAAGAACAAAAATTAGCCCATATGCATAATCATCAGCCCATGCATTCACATAGCATGTTTTATACTCAAAGTTGGTTTTACAAAATTTTTTTATTTTGAAAGATGAAAGAGATACAGAAAAATAGTGTTAGAGTTAAACATGTTCGGTTAATGTTCTCACTACACTCTGTACATAAAAAGAAGATTTTAAATTCAATTTTGAGTGATAAAAGAGCATGTATTAACTTTGTTTTTCAACTTATTGGACACAATATAATTAGCTATAATAGAAAAAAAATAAAGAGCGAAATCAGGTGATGATGGGTGATTCTAAAAATTAATGTAAACAAAATAAAAAATATATACTAGAAAGGGAAACCATGTTATCAAAGAATGATTTTATATTCTTCGTATTTATTTTCTAATTTCTACTCGCTCAAACTGTTAAAGTTTTTTTGCTGTAAATAATCAAAACTATAGTCTGTTTCAAGGTTCGACATAATATAATAGGTTGGAACTTAAACTACAGAATCTGCAAAAGAAGTTTTTGTTCGTAAATTATAAAAACTACGACTATACCATCAGTCAAAAGATTTATTATTATCAAAATCTTCTAACCTGTTTCAGCTCCTCCTCAGGCTTCCACGTGGGTAAGTCACCAATTTGGGATTCCCCTGTCTCTAATGGCTTCCTCCTTTCCTAGCTAGTATAAATTATTTCCCACACTTGTTTCAATGAAACTTTTTAGTAACTATTCTCTTTCAATTACATTGTTACCCCTCATCTCTTTAGTAATTTTTTTATTGAAAGAAAGGAACAACAGAAGGGCAAAGGATCATTCTAGAACTTGTTGCTGTGTAACCTATTAATGAAGACAGAAATTTCCAAGTTCAAATTAGTGTATTTCAGTTCGTTTAAACTCCCTAGGTTATATTTATTTTAATCACGATTACATTAGGCATTTTAGAAGATTCAGACGTGAAGATCATTTCAATTTTGTTATGTTTAGCATAGAAAATTAATCATTGATTTCATTTCAATGTTATCAGGGGCCAAATTTAAGTAGGGGTTACTTAGTCAATAATTGGAGTGCATTTGAATTCATTTAGTTCAAAGTGTGAAGTTTAAAGATAAAATTTAAAACATATATATTGCAATTTAAAATTGCTAGAAACTCTTTAAAAATTGGGTCAACCCAAAATCAATTAGATTTAAATTTACGCCAATTCAGAGCTCCGCTCTAGATTAAAAATTGTTAATTAGTCAATTTAAGCAAAGCCAACATACCCGAATACAGTTTTAATCTAATTGACATGTGGCTTGAATTGGGGATATTCAAGCTTGGCAATAAAAAGAAAACATTTATGCAGAGAAAACCACTAAACTAATCTTTAAGTGGAATTTCAATTGGGGAAATTCATTACTTGGGGTATTCATATCAGTAAAAAAGAAATTAATACACATTGATTTCAAGTAGAAATAGCTTTGCAAGACAAAGAGATGGCTGTTGGAGGTGCTCTCGATCTACTGCACTATTCAGCTACTTTTAGATGTGGGTCACAAAACTTGGTGCGGCTGACTACTGGTCGGCTTGGGCGGAGCACTAACTGGCCTTTCATGTATGAGGCATGCAAACAACAAAACAATAGAGAAGAGGGGCCTATAGTAGCGGCACTTGGAGCATGTCAAAGTTTTGAGAAAAATTGGTTGAATTCTGAATAGTCTCGATGCATTTTTTATTTGCTTTCATTTCATTAAATAATAATCTTACAATCTATTTTAGGTACGAAATATTCTGTATAATTTATTTTAGGTAACTTAATAATACATATTTCTTATCAAAATATTCAACTAAAAGGGAAATAAATCAAAATAAAGATATTGAAAATAATTTAAATAAGGAAGCTCCTAATTATAGAAAACTCCTAATTTAGCTGTTTGTTTTCCGTCATTCCTGATTGACATCCCTCCTCAAATTGAAGTTGATTAATCGGGAAACATCAATTTTTCAACAAGAAACTAATAACACTATCGGGACAAAAAATCCTCAAGTCGTGAGTGTCAAAGCCGAGAATGTCGATGCCTCAGAGACAACTCTTGAACCATAACATGCTTTGAGCAAAGAAAAACAAGATATTATTTATCATTGTCGTCCAAAAATACGAATCATAGTCACAAGAAGGATCTGAATGTTACCGATCATAGCCCACAAATCGGATCAAGTTCCACAATTGTCGGTCGCCAAATTAGAAATTATCGGCAGCCGGAATGGATATCCTGACGCACGGTTTAAAAAAAATGTTTAATTTAATTTATATATATATATATATATATTAGAAAAAGTAATATTTTAATTTTTAAAAATACAAGACCGAACCGATCTCATATATTTAATAGTTTAAATGATCGAGCACAACACCACTAGTATCACACATATACCGAGAAATATGCGTGTTACTTGATAGTGAGACTCGATTAAATAAACTACAGAATTTATGACGCTCATCTAATCTGCGAACCATTTATTTCGACCGACAAGTTTCCCTAGCTAATATTAAAAATTAGATAGGGTTTATATTACTTGGGTTCTTAAAGCTCCCTATAGAGGCAAGCCCCTATAGTTAATTACTTCTCAAATGACTGAAGTCACTTAAGAGAGAGTTACTTAAGAGAACTCTCGATAATGATCAGAGGTATCAATCTTCATGAATTCAAAGTTTAGGGTTTCCAAGGTTGAACATAAAAAAGTCAAGTGGAGAAAGAGACCAAATGGGAACAATTATTTCTGGAGTTGAATGAAAGAAAAGTAGGGGATGTCACGGATCTTGAGGAGAACCTCGGTGATTTCCCAAACTATCTTATTGTTTGACTTCAATTTTAAGAAGATTTTATTTGATGTTTCATCCAGTCAGTTTTATTATTTAGGACTTATATTTGTGTGACACGGTCATACAAATAGTCTGGAATATATGAGAGTTTACATTATATCGGACGACAACCTCGGAACCTAAATCAAGTTAGGGCTTAAATTGCACAACCTGGTTGTACAAAGGCCTAAAAGATAAAGTGAGGATTTATGTCGCGCTAGGCAAACTACCTCGGAAGTCCTATGATTTGTTATTTAAATTAAGGAAAGATATGCTATTGTAGATCGTCATCCTCCACCTGTTGTTTCTCCGTCGTGCTGCCCACGAAGACTTGCTCCAAGCTCCAAACTGTGGCGGCTTCAAGTTTAGTTTATGTTTTGCATTTGCAACTATAATTATTGTTCGGTCTCAAGGGTCCGGTGTACCTCCTAACATGTTTTATTGTTCTCTACCCAAAGAGTTTAGCAAGTGCATTAAAGTAAATAATGCGATAAGAAGAACAACAAATTGCAGGAAACAAATAGCCTAGAATATATGAGGGTTTAGATTGTATCGAACAATAACCTCGGAACCTAAAGCGAGTTAGGACTTAAATTGCACAACCTGACTGTGTAAAGGTCTAAAAGATAAAGTAAGGATTTAGGCAAACTACCTCGGAAGTCCTATGATTTGTTATTTAAATTAAGGAAAGATATGCTATTGTAGATCGTCATCCTCCACCTGTTGTTTCTCCGTCGTGCTGCCCACGAAGACTTGCTCCAAGCTCCAAACTGTAGAAACTTCAAGTTTAGTTTATGTTTTGCATTTGCAACTATAATTATTGTTGGGTCTCAAGGGTCCGGTGTACCTCCTATCATATGTTTTATTGTTCTCTACTCAAAGAGTTTAGCAAGTGCATTAAAGTAAATAATGCGATAAAAAAACAACAAATTGCAGGAAACTTAAATAAATTGCTAGAAAGTCTGGTAAAATAAAATCATAATAAAAAAACACGAATGAGTAAAACAAAACATGATGCCACGTATAAAGAACTAGAAGTATGTTACTTATATGTGACGAATGTCCCCAATTGCCGGGAGGATCTGAGTGTAAGACTCAAGCTCAAATTCCGAAGTATTGAGTTTCACTGTAGGTTGAGTCATGACGGGAATTTCACTACTTGATTTAATTAAAAGAAAGTTATGAACCACATCTTCGTGTATCCTTATGTTTAGTGTTTTAATCAACTTGTGTAATAAGCTCAAGTGCTTAGTTTCATCATTCATCTGAAAATTAGGTAGAGAAACTCTCTCCTAGAGTGTGCTCCTAAAGTTTATGAAGCCTACACTTTAACTTGTGCTTGCAGATATTTAAGGTGGTTTGCTTTCAATGAAGTGTTTTCCAACTAATCCTCAAATATTTTTTAAGTTTTTTCCAAATAATTAAATCAGAA